CTTCACAGAAAACAAAATTCCAAAGTTGAGCACAAAACCGTGTTGAACTTTAAAATTCTGCACACAGGCATACAATCAAGAAATTTTCATAATTTCCTGTTTCCTTTTGAAACAAAAATCTTCGTTTTTGTTTGTTTGTTTTAACAAAATATACTGAATTCAAGATATAGTCAAAGATTAAAATTTCCCATCATATGATATATCAAAAAAAATAAGCAAGCTCAATCACGTGTGCTACAATCAGATGGGTTTAAACTTTATATGGGTTTAATTCTTTTGGTTTTCAACAAATCAAGCCAGATGAAATGAAATTTTTTTTAGATATAATGCACTCCTAAACGAAGGTATAGTAGTACTGCACTTGCATGCACATATTACATGTATAAAATCAATCTCGCTGAAGATTAAGTAATATCGCTCACTATGATATATTGTAAAGGTGAAAGGATTTTTTGGATGTAACCTAAATATATCAAAAGATTGAAAAGTATACAAAAAGTTATATATCTGCGAATTATTATTAGGTAAATAGGCTGGTTCTTCTACAATTGTGATATCACGGCCATCCAGACAGGAATGGAGACTGCCTACCATTCTTTCTTGTTTATGCTGTTTTTGGCCAACGGGATTTTTGCCATTTTTGCAGCTTGCAAGGTAATTATAGAAATGAAAATAGTATTTATATAGGAAGAATTATTTAAGACAAATGAAATGTTCTCAATCATTAAGTAGGAGCAACTGTGTTATTTAAGGAATCACTGTCTAGTTAGGAGAGTATGCCAGGGCATCAACAATAGTGGGAAACATGGGATAATTTGCATAAAGGACGAAGCCCGTTATGCTAAAATTATCCCATGTTTCCCACTATTGTTGATGTCCCTGGCATACTCTCCTAACTAGACAGTGATTTCTTATATTTCCATTTCATTGTGAAATAAAATTGTAGATTAAGAATTTAAAAATGAAGACCAATAGATTAAAATTACACAAGGACTTCCATGCCAATTTCGATAGTCCTCGCACACTGACGTCAAACACAAAGGTAGCCGCACGAGATTTACATGCATATTTGGTCTCCTTAGCGTCAGACACAGAGACAGGTACACACGAGATTTGCATGCGTATTAAGCGCTTCTGACCTATTGACCTGCCTAATTTACATACCGGCAGAATTATCAAAAATATACTCACAAAAATTTCAAAGAATTATCACAGAGAAAAAAAAAATAGAAATGGAAATATTGTAAAATATGACTCTCATAAACGAGGGGGCCGTTGGTCTGCTTTTATCTTTCATCATTTATAGGCAAATTGAAGTATTGACAATGAAATGCATATGTGAATTTAAAACTCTTATCTTCATGACATTTGGGAATATACTTATGTATTGACTGCCAAGTAAGCATGTGCTTCACTAGAAGAAAAAATGTGTAGTCTAGTGAATTTATCATTAAAACATTACGCAAGTGAGTTGTAGTAAAATATGAACATATTTTACTATGTAAGAATGTCGCCTACCTTAAAGTAAGTACAACTATGGTGACGACGGGAAAACCAAATTCTACATGGTGAATACGGTACAGGTACAACAAACAAAGGTAACACACGTGGTGAGTGGTTTGAGGACTGGACAGGACTGACGAAGTAAGCGTGCTGGCCAGCACGGGTGGATGAGTATGAGGTCAGGGTGAAAGGTCATAGGGAATACATTAACATACACAATTTCACTACATTCCTCCCCGTTTTATTTAATAAATCTAGGGGCAATTACTGTAATTTACTTCGTGGAATGTAAACCAGAAATATATAAATATTATCTTATATGCCATGGAAAACGTATTAACTAATTCATGTATCCACATGAACTTGGACGGAATTACATCCAGCACCTTAGTTCTGCAGGATAAACATGTTTGTATGTGGCAAGATTTATTAAAGTAAGTTAATATACGAATTATGATAATCCGCATGTAACTTCCACATTGGATCAAATGACCATGTTTAGCCATACGCATTCCATGTTGTATGTTATACATTTTCTATGTTTTAACACTTAATATAGCCAAAAGGAATATAACTTACCTATGACCTAACACTGTCCTACTTCCATAGTCCTGAAACTGAATGGAGTCATGGCATATGCATGGTTTAGTCAAGTGAGAATCAGTTGTACCAGTATAAAACTTTTATCGTGTATACAACTGATTAACCTATATATTGTGCAAGAGTGCAGTAATATATGTTAGAACTTAACAACAATCAGATATGACTGTGATGTATATTACTGCTAACTAACTTAATATGAATATATTTTAATGTATGTCCGTCACCTTAAATATGTCAATGCCTAAATACTGTACTTTAAAACTTATACTATGTAACTAACTTAAGCCTAACCTAAACTGAGTAAACTGTATACTTTCTTACTACCTAAACTAACTAAAGAAGGTACGTTTCCTTAATTGTCGACTAATCATAGGAGACGCTATGAAATATATAACTATTAAACGTATTTACAAAACATATTCCGCATCAGTACCGTTACTTTCTATAATAAGTTAGCCGGGTATATACGGAAGATGTATGACATATAACTATATACAAAATATGTAAAGCAATCCGCCCAATACCGAATACTGAGAAAGGTCAGCCAAGTATATATTCGGAAAGCATAAGGTTATTTACATAAAGCAATCCTGCCCAATACCGTCACTGAGAATGGTCAGCCGGGTATCTGACGGAAAGCATATATGTTGCATGATTACTACAGTCCTTGTTTAGTTATTCTTGGACATTCTTAGGAACTAGATCAAGGACATGCAACAGGATAGATCATTGCATATTTACGAGTTATATATTGCCTGAATATGCTTCACCCAGATCAGATCTCCATGGAACAGTGAGAGGAACTACATCATCTAGGACACAGCACCAGTAGTGAATTCCACCACAAATCAAATCTTCAGTGTTGAAGTTTGACCTGTAAAAGGGACAAGCTACGTCTATCCTAGATGATGCGTCTGTATTGGTATGCCATCCCTGTGTACAGTCATGTTGTATTTCTGTCCAACGAGCTAGCTAGCTTACATATGACAAAGCATCTTCCCAGCATCGAAAGAAGTTACGAAAAAAGACTATTACTGCCAAGAAGTTCCTTACTATAGTTGTCCAGTAGCGCCATTGCTTAGATGACAGGGTTAAAGTAGCATGTGATAATTCTCTCTTCACTGTCTTGGATTGTATTCTGAGCTCTTACTGAAATTTCTTTATAATAATTACTAACCTCAAACTATTAATTTTATCTTACTTCTTACTAAAATCTCAAGTAATATATATATAAAGAACAGCTAAATGCTTACTTGTGAGATTTGAGTACTATAACCATGAAAGTTAATACTGTGCATATCTACACCACAAGTGCATTGAGCATTGCTCAGTTATTTATTGACTCTGTTTAATAATGAGCTCAGGCAAAGAACATGTATATATATTGAAAGATATTCCATACTTATAATGTGAGCAATACTCAAATACTGACCAGGGTGCAAATAAGTTTCTTAAAATCTATTAAATGTTATGCATTTATACACTATTTTCATCTACAAACTACACTATTTCCCCTCCCTTTTATTTTTAAATGAAGGAAGCAGTAGTAATAGCTAGCTGTTCTAATTGATGTAGGAATACTAGAGCTTATCTAAATGTAGTTTGTGCATATATAATTAGCTATACTGGTGTATTGACTATTGTACACAAATTACTAAAGTACTATAATTGTGTAGGCAAGTCTATTAGTAATTCCACTAAACACCAATGACTAAACAGTGCTGCAAGTTTAAGTTATAATAATCACTTATGTTGGTAATTTTAGTAAGCTTAGTATAATGATCCACTTACTAGATATCTAAACTAGTGATTATAAATATAATATCAGAACTAACGTACTGTAAGTTAGTCAACTACCAACTACTATCAGTTTAGAGTTAACAACCAGTTCTTGTTTTAATGTTAGTTACTCAAATTATATATAAATTAAACGCGAATACGGTCAGATTGCAGTAAAACTTTAATATCACTAGCACTACAGATTACTAACTAAAGACTAAATACTAAGTAGTAGAATAATAAAACAGATTAAATTACTTTAATAATTTGATATAAATCTTAACTAACACTAAATTTTTCTAATTTACTTATATTGAAACCAACAGACTAAGTATAGTACAGCTATAGTATATAACTCGATGAACTCTGGGTACAAGCATTTCAGGGATTTTATGGCAAATAATCTACATCAATGTGATGGGCCATGGCACAACCCAACATTTGTTCTCAAGTGGCAGCCCAGATGGAATGCCCAGCCCATGGTCTACAGAGTGGAATACACAAACAAGACATTCTCCGAAGTAAGTTAGGAGGAAGTTCTTGTCGGCCGCATTCCAAGTAGACCTGGTTGGGCCATTTGTGCTGTCACTTTCAGTGGTGGTTGTTGTAACATACACAGCTGATGCTGTTACAGACAGTGTGGAATCAGCATTCAGCGCTTCACTAATTTTCTTCTGTTGTGGATCCGGTAGTGAAGAGGTTGCTGTTTCCTCATGTTCTGTAACCAGCTCTTGGTAGGAGGACTCCTGTAAATTGTCGATTGTCTGAGCATTCACAACTTTGCCATTGCTATGCTCAGGCAAAGCATCACTCCAATGAGGCTGTGTATCTGCAGTCAAGTCCGGTAGTTGTTGTTGACTGTCAGATGTATCATTTGTGTCTGGAGTTGTTTGGCAACAAGCAGTTGAATACTCACTACTCTGTAGCCATAACTCAGACTTACTGCCATCTGTCTCATCTCTGTCCTCTATGTCTTCTGAGTATGAAATTCCAGGAACATGGAGACTATCCTGTGACACCATGGTATTCCACTGCATACCAGCAGGTGATACATCACCACTCGGTATTTGTGGAAACCCTGGTGGACTCTTGCAAGTAACTGTGGGCATCTGCTGCTACTGCTGCACTGCTGCAGTAAATGCTGGCTGCTGGTGCTGATGGTACACTGGTGCGGGCAGGACAGATTCACAGCTGCTGGCGTCTCCAGGTTTCAACGGTGAAAAACCATCTAATAATTCCTGGCCTTGGCCGTAGGGAATTTCACTTGTTGACATAGCAGGACATGGTTCAGCTACCTCATCGTGTGAGTTTGCCAGTGGTGATGGTATTGGTGGTCCTCCATACATGCACGGCTGTGGGTATTGCTGTTGAGGTACCATGTATCCAGGTGGGAACATTCCAGGATATGGGCCATATGCATAGGGTATGCTAGGATATGGCTGTGGTGATCCAAGGAATTGTTGTGGGAATGGTCCACCAGGAAATGGTACTGGATAGTTCACAGGGACTGGTACACAAGGAGTTGGATACCCGTATGGATTAAGAGTTGGCAGGTATGGTCCACCATAGTATCCAGGAGGTGCTGTACAAGGTGTCATAGCTGGGTTCATCTTGTTGCTTTCAGTAGTTCAAACTTACGGAAATAATCACGCCGTTTGATACTACTGAAACAGTCAATTGGAGAATGTGCGTATATTTATTGCTGTACGTTATATGCTTTTTCTACGTCACGGTAAAATGAAACCGCCGGTGAAAATATCACACACTACTGTGACTGATATGCAACAATTTTTTTTTTGATCAACGTCACTTTAACACAATATAATTGCAATTGTATTTTAGCCGGTTTAATTCATCGGTATAGTCCAGATAGTTTTACTGCGTCTATCTTTCCTCTCTATCTTTTTCTATCTTCTTTTTTATCTTTAATGCTTTCGATCTTTATTTTTAGATTACTGTTGAATATTCAACTTCACTTTAACACAATGAACAATTGTATCTGAGCCGGTTTAATTAAACAGTAAAGTTCCTGGTTATTTAGTTAGATTCTTTCTATCCTTGTCTTTCTATCTGTATATCGCAGTTAGTAAAATAGCGTTTCCTTTATCTTTGCTATTATTTGATAATTCTGTTCTGGTCCAAAATACTTATTCTGTTATTGTTACCTACCTCTTAATTAATTGCTTAATACGTAAATTAACTTGCTTGATTACCGCACTGACTTTTACAACGTTAATTCAACGCCCAATGTCAGACGACGGTAGCAATAAGTACTGATGTTACTAAAATAAATAACCGATAAACTAACTAATGAAAGAATATAATCAATTGATGATGTTATATGAATTGATTATATTTTTGGCAAAGATATTTACTGTTGTTGCACAGAGCTAATATGTAAAAACGTAACTCTACAAAATCAGTTCACTGATGTTTAAAGCGAGCACGTGCGCTTTGATCTATATATAGCTAAAACAGGTAAACCGGTTTGAGTAAACTAGCTCCGTGAAACTACAAGTACAATGTACATAAATCTAACAAAAACACTATATCTCTCTTCTTTCCCCCAAAATATTTTTTAAGGAACTTAGAGAGAAAAAGCAACAATATATAAATATTCTATATCCAAATTAAATTACGAGTCGAGAAGAAAAGGGCACTCCTCGAAAATTGTCAACACGAGTGACAATAACTTTTCAATAGAAAAAAAAAAAAATATTTGTCTCGTGCAAAGGAATAAAATATACGAATAATTTAGAATAAAGTTCAGACGATGTGGCACAAGTGACCGAGATTGAATGAACCGAAAAGAAAAAAAAAATGTTATTTGCACAAGACAATGGAAATATCAAAAATTTCGTACTGACGATTACAAAAAAACGCCCTTACGATATTGTACACTAAGTATAATGAAAATATTCAAAATTTTCGTACTGACGTTTACAAAAACGCCCTTACGATATTTTACACTAAGTAGTAATAAAAATATTCAAAATTTTCGCACAAACGTTTACAAAAACGCTGTACGATAAGTATAATACTAAATACTAATGAAAAACGAAAATGCAAAAATAATTGGACCGTGATATCACCACGTGTTCAAATGCGACTCACGCGTGAAAAAATAACATGGCAAAGTCAAACTGTTGGAACTTTGCAATTAACGTTAATTATAACGCCTGTTTGCAACAGTTTCCTACAGGCTATTCTAAATGACTATACGCAAAATATTTCACTTGTGTTTTTAATCACGAGTGACAGACAATTCACACGTGAATTTTGCTAATAAAAACGTAAATTCAATAAGCCCCGCACCGAATTACCGGCGACGCCAATGTAGTAAAATATAAACATTTTCAAAATATATCATAGTAGGACTATCCTACCGGCGACGCCAATGTAGTAAAATATGAACATATTTTACTATGTAAGAATGTCGCCTACCTTAAAGTAAGTACAAATAAGGTGACGATGGGAAAACCAAATTCTACATGGTGAATACGGTACAGGTACAACAAACAAAGGTAACACACGTGGTGAGTGGTTTGAGGACTGGACTGGACTGACGAGGTAAGCGTGCTGGCCAGCACGGGTGGATGAGTATGAGGTCAGGGTGAAAGGTCATAGGGAATACATTAACATACACAATTTCACTACAGAGTTAAGGCTACATATGAGGGTTTTTATGCAAACTATCAAACAAAATTCCATAATTGCTCTACCTAACGCACAGAAAATGTTAAGACTTGTTTTTTAATACATTCTTGGTACCCACAACATGCGATAGCCAGTACACATTATGACGTCATCAACCTCTACTACACAAGCTTATAAGAAATATTAACAAATTAGCTTCGGCGCAAGGGCATACCTTACTTTGTTTTACAGAAACAAGGTAGAAAAAAGACGAAGGAGATTCCAAGGGTTTGAGATATTGCTGCACAAATGTCGGCACTACAACTGGTTAGCTACTATCCCTGCAGTTTTAAGTTTAACATGGTAAACAATCACAGTCCAGTGAAAGTTTCCTAATATTTTTATCGATTAAGAAAGTTCATAGGATTGGTGCAGCAATTTCATTAATTTTAACAGTATTCTCCTTAATATCATACATTGTTTATTTTCAAATAGATAGGTTATGCCCTTGCGCCAACGTGATTTATTTGATGTGATTTATTATCTTGAATGGGAGAGAAAAATGACGTCGTGATATGACGTCATAATGTGCACTTGCATTAATAAACTGAGGGTACCTCCTTTGTATTAGAAAATCAATTTGATTTTTCTCTGTACATAAAATATACAAATTTTGAATTTTAATTAGCTCATTTGCATAGAAATATTCATATTTAGCCTTAACTCACTTGCGTATACGCTTTTTGTTACAGCTAACATTTAGTTAAGAATATATACTGTATATATAGTAAAGGACCTTACAAAATCGGATGTGGTATAATTATTAATTTTAGAGAACATTATTAGATTATGGAAAAATCAATACCTGTACATGTATAGGATTTCATTAAAATTAAGAAAACATATTATCAAATGCCTAATAAAAATACTAAATATCTTGGTAAAATTGTTCACTTTGAAGAAAGAGCTAGAAATCTAAAATGCAACCAATGACATTTGCAAATTCACAAAAAGAAATTAGATATCAAGGCTCATTTGATAACTTACATGTATCTTGCAGACCCCTCCCCCCCCCCCCCCCCAAAAAAAATACAAATAAATATTTTTAAACAGCTACAATATATGAGATACACTTCTAGTTTTTATCTCTGTCTTCCTGTTGTTTTTTTTTTTCGGTATATGTATGAGAGTCTCAAAATGATTGATTCATAATCAATCATGATCCAAAATATTTTTAAAAAAAGCTGATGTTATGGATATAATAAAATGCTTTTACTGGTTAGTTAGTATGAAATTAATGTTGCATCTGTAAAAGAAAAAAGATGTTAAACAAGAGGCCCAGGGGCCACAGCGCTCACCTGAGCACATCGGGCTTGAATTTACCCCCCCCCCTTTCAAGGTGTTCATCATTTAAACAAACTAGAATCTACACTACCTGAGGATGATTCCATATTAGTATCACTTATCATAGCTTTGAAGTACTTGAAAAGAAGATTTTAAAATGTTTCACTATATATCCCTATGTTAAACTTGGGTCGGCCATTTTGGCCCCACCCTTTCCCCAGGGCCGAGGGTCACGATTTAAACAAACTTGAATCTACACTACCTGAGGATGATTCCACATGAGTTTCATCTTTCCTTGGTAATTAAGAAGAAGATTTTTAAAGATTTTTCCAATATATTCCTATGTAAAAATATGTCGGCCATTTTGGCCCCACCCTTGCCCCGGGGGTCATTATTTGAACAAACTTGAATTTACACTATATGAGGATGATTCCACATGAGTTTCATCTTTCCTGGCCCAGTGGTTCTGGAGAAGAAGATTTTTTAAAAATGCCATTTATTTTTAACAAATTCATAATTATCTCCCCTTGGAAAAGGGTGTGGCCCTTCATTTGAACAAACTTGAATCCCCTTCACCCAAGAATACTTTGTGCCAAGTTTGGTTGAAATTGGCTCAGTGGTTCTTGAGAAGAAGATGAAAATGTGAAAAGTTTACAACAACGACAACGACTACGACGACAACTACAGACAACGGACAAATTTTGATCAGAAAAGCTCACTTGAGCCTTCGGCTCAGGTGAGCTAAAACGGGTGAGGTATTTTATTTTACAATAGCTGTAACATTTATTTTCATAAATCAAATAAAAAAAACATTTTCTTGTTTATATTTATATCTTTACATACATGTATATTCATTAGTATAAAGTTTATTTCAAATCGCACTTTTTATTTGTTGTCAAAATTTGACGTGCAACAGCACAAGAAATCTTTAAGATTGATATGCTTACTAGGTTATATTGACCTGTTAACAACAAATGATTTTCTATAGGTATACAGTGTTGTGTAGGGTAACTTTCATGGACACGGAACTGTCTGCTGTTCCACAACCGATGCCCGTGACAAACATACAATCAGATGTAAAAAATGCTAAGGGAATTCTCCAATGTTAAAATGGGATAATTATCTAAATTCTGATATGACGCACAATGTATGCTGATTTACATGAAATGTTGTTTGAAATATAAAAGCCTCGGCTAACGCCTTGGCTTTTATCTTTCAAACAACATTTCTCGACCTCGGAGGTTATTCTGCAGCATTCACGAAAACGCAGACTTTATTTCTTAAGTAAAATATGTAAACTAGAATTATTTTACAGGAAATCTAAATAAATTAATTGCCTACTTAATTTCACTATCCACAACATTGTTGCTGTTAAAATCCATGTTGTTTATATTAACCCTATTGAGAAACGTCATTCAAGGTTTTTCTTACTAAAGACACTTTACATTGCTTCATGTATTTTATTTGTATTAAGATGATTGTCCTTGAAACGATCATGTGCAATAGCCTTGAACTTGCTGACCTACATACATACATTTTAACAACTATAGTACAGAGGAGCTTTTATCTAACTGATGAAGGATCGTGATTTACATGAATGTATTTAATTGATTTTTTTTCACAATCCTTT